GACAGCCACGTGCGGCGAACCGATTACCCAAAATCGTTCCTAAACCGCCCTTCTCCCAGGGAGTAGCCATAGAAATGCTTCTCCATGTGAAATAAAATCCGTTCCTCTCAGACCAGGTTACCCTCTAATTGTAAGAGTTATTGACTCTTCCGTCGCTCGGTGTCGCGAAGCGTTCTATAGACCTGATATTTTGTTGCTGCGGTAGTAAACGGGAGTCGAGTGCATGGCGTGTACTGCATTTCATCAAACCAATCCATTAATCCTAATATGCTTTTTCCAGAGTTCCAGTATTGTAGCAGCTATAGCAAAGTATGAGAACAGTACAAAACCTGGCCCTGAGAAGCATCAATTATAAGCAACTATTTCCTTCAACCCGTCTAAGGGATGCGCCCTGCATCCGTCTTCCATTCAAAGTCGTAGGAGAATGAATGCGTATGAGGCCAATACAGTGACTTGTGGCGATCAGCCGATGTACAAGTCGGTGCTTTTATCCTCCCAGACGAGTCTGTATCAACTCCGAAGGGATGGAAGGTTTGGTTGGCCTAGGAGGATATCGATCCGGGATTAGAACCCGAGCTCATACGTGTGAGATCTTGCGCCACTCACCACTACACCACCACCTTATAAGCAACTTTAATATGTAATAAGTAGGCAATCAACATTACTGCAATAATAGACTATGATTACAGATGGGAGAGCAATTGATTGAGGAATTTTGGATAGCTGAAGGTTACGAGAAACCTGAGGAGGCTATTCTCCCAAAAAATTTATCTCAACGAAGATTATGGGAACTAATGGAGTACCCGGACAGTTCCCTTGCTGCTCGGATCATCGCTTTCATATCAGTTTTCGTAATCGTAATGTAGGTCTTTTTAAGTGTCCACCAGCTTCTGAGCAATTTCACCCAATGAAACTCACATTTCAGCTCAATAGTGTCCTTTTGCTGGGAGACGGTACCATCCGGAGACGTACGCGACACAAATGGAACATCTGGTGTGTCGCCGGATAAGGATGAAGGCAAGCTGGTCTGGAATCCGTTCTTCTGGTTGGAACTCGTCTGTATTGTATGGTTCACTATTGGTTCGTTCAGAAGTTCCATCTCTTGTTTGGGTCCCTCTATGTCATGACGATTTTTTTTTCAAATTTTTAGAACTCACACTTCGATTTATCAGTTGCCCTTCGAAGGTAACGTTTATGATGTCATTCCTAAACATCATCGACTTCGTTGCAATCGCTCCATTCTTTGTGAATCTCATCTGGTGGGTCCACTCTACTATTGATGCTTTTTTTAGTTAACACACAGCTCTTTAAAGGCACAACTCACGATAAAAATGGTTTCTGAAATTCCCCCACAGGATGAATATGAGGCCCCCGCGTATACCATATCTGGCACTGTTATGCCGAAAAACGGCATAGTTAGGGAGTTATAATGGCTCAAAGATTGGCCCGTGTGTATGCTCGGACGAGTTTCACCGGCATTGTAGAGGCTGGACCGATCACAAGGGAGCCATGTATGAAGTTCAAACAATTTGTCATGACCCATAGTGACAGCGAAAGACAGTTCTGGACAGTTCTGGCTTGATATAGTCAGCTCATTGTGCAATTGCAATAACTGAGATCTCGTCCGAATACCCCTTCCATGTTATTTCCGTCATGGTAATATCGTCCAAACTCTATTTTCCTTACTTTTGAGGAGCCAGATTTTTTTCCGAATCGGCAAAATCTCTTGCCGATGAACTATTCCCAATCTATACTTCCGCTTTTCGAATAAAAACGGGTACCTCAAAATTATTGTGAACTGTGCCTTTAAACACATCATAACAATAATACAATAGTTGCGCATTACTGCAGGAAGTGGAACACCCTCTATATCCTCTCGGGACCTCGTGACTGCCCAACGACTCCTGATTGTCCCGCCGTATGTCGATTGTGGGTAATTTCATGAGAGTGACACAAGGCTGATAGAATTCTCTGAATCATATTGAGGGCAGTGAGCACGGAAACTAGGGGCTCTGCGCAATAGTTGGCAGTTGCAGCCTTCATCTGTTCTTTCTGTTGAATGATGCCAGATGTCAACCCTTTTTTCCGAGAATTTCTCAAAGTTGGATTTCTCTGTAACAAGGATTCCTCAAAAAAGAAAATGGGATCCAAATAGCTTCTAATACCATCTTGTGAAAAGCCAGAATTTTTAGGGCCGACGCAAACAAGTCGAGTGGATCGATGTCTTTCGCAGTGCTTCGAGTTCTTCGGCTTGTACGAGTGTTTCGAATATTCAAGCTGAGCAGGTACCTATTTCGAGCATTTTTCAATGGAGGCAGTGCCAAAATAAAGTCTTTGAAGTCATCAGTGACATAATCGTCTGGAAACGTGCCAGTGTTGGCTGGAACTGGGACGGTTTCTAGAGGTCGTTCTACAAGTCAAATACTCAATCAAATTTTCGGAATCACTGAAAAATTCGAATCAGAGTTAATGGGTTCTTCAGTAGGCCATATTTGGTCATTCGTTTCATAAATTCTCTTCTCCAACCGTTTGGGTCTTATGTAAATCTTGAATAATCAGCGTGGGAGGGGTACTAGTCACCGGTGGAAGGTTCCTTGTCCGTGTTCTCCCTCATGTATCTGCTTATATGTAAAAAGTGGGATGCATGTCGACACCTTAAAGGCACGGTTCACGATAAAAATGGGCTCTGAGATTTCCTCATAAGATGAATTCCAGGTCCCCTCATATACCATATGTGGCGCTGTCAGGTCGGAAAACGGCCTAAACAGGGCGTTATAAAAGCTCAAAGATTGTCCCGTGTGTATACGCGGACGAGTTTCAATGGCATTTCAGAGAGTGCACCATTCATAAGGGAACCTCTGTTGGAAGTTCAAACAGCTTGTTATGCTCGTAGCAACAGTGAAAGGCAGTTCTGTGCAGTTCTGGCTTGATTTAGTCAGCTCCTCGCTTAATTGCAACAACTGAAATCTCGTCCCAATACCCCTTCCATATTATTTCTGTCATGTTAATCTTGTCCAACCTCTACTTTCCTTACATTTAAGAAGCCTAATTTTTCTCGGAATTGGTGAATTTTCTCGCTTCCTTCGGTATCGATGAACTATCCCCAACTTACACTTCCGCATTTCGACCAAGCTGGAGTTCTTCAAAATTATCGTGAACTACGCCCTTAAAATTACTCAAGATGAGCCCTTCTAAGCCTTGTCTAGGTAGTTCTCAATGAACATTTGCGCACCCTTGTTTTTCTTTGCATTTTGAGGGCTATTCTATAAAAAACCCCCTGTTTCAGACATTCAGCCGGTCTGCAGATTCTCGGTAAGACGTTTCGGGCGTCGGTACAGGAGTTCTGTTTGCTCATTTTCTTCATGGCAATAGCTTTGGTGCTATTCTCATCAGGGATGTATTTTGCCGAACAGGGAGAGGCGAATTCGAAATTCACCTCGATACCAGCCTCCTTCTGGTTTGTATTGGTGAGTTCTTTCAGCAGACCCATCCTCACCATCATCTACTGAGCATTCGCGTTATTCCTTTGAACTCCTGTTACAAGAGCGGAATATCGTATTTTTTTAAATGATTTTTTATTTGAAGTACTCCTCTTCATCTTATCCCTTTTGCAGGTGACCATGACAACTGTCGGGTAAGCAATATGCCTTTCTCAATGTGTTGTCACTAAAATCACCGTCACAGTGTTGTAGTGATTGTGATTGTGCTGTGCAAGCTAATACCGTACTACCCCTAAGGTTACAGTATTCGAAGTAATCATGAAATATTCAGATATGGCGACCTCGTCCCATTGAGCACTCAAGGCAAAATTGTTGGCTCAATGTGCGCCTTAATCGGAGTGCTCACCCTGGCACTACCTGTTCCCATCATTGTACGCCCATTGTTTCTTTTTCATTCCATATCCTAGTGATTGAATTCCGCCGAATGACTTTCTCCAGGTGGCCAACTTCAAACATTTCTATCGACAAGAGAATCGGCTGGCAACGATGCGCAGCGCCGGTAAAGATTTGGAGACTGCGGAAAGTGTTGATGACAGCTGACTACCAATTGGACTGCGACCCAGCGTGAATAGTGAGGTATGTAGGTGTTCGCTTCCTTCAGTACTGGTGCAACTGACAAAGTGATGTGGTAGAAAGGGAAAATCAGGAGTACTGGCTCTTCTGCCTTCTCCTTGACTTCGACCAAGTACTTTGGTGTGATCCGGTACAGTGGCCCTTTCTTGCCTTCACGATGTTCTAGACTTTGGATGGTATTGTCCAATCTTTTAGCTGTTGCACTTCAAGATCCTCTTGAGCGAGTTCGTTAGGATGGTAGATTTACACGCCGGCATGAATGTCGATTGACTGTGGCCTATATGTTCTGGGTTGAATGATATGAACCGATGAAATAGCCATCATCTTCCACATGGTCCAATCAAACATTCTGCCCCCATTGCCCCAGACAAATCCCGGATCGATATCTGCCTGGGCCAACCAAGTCTTCCATCCCTCTGGGGTCAGTTCATTTGTATCAGGCTGGTCCGGGAGGATAAAAGCAAGGACTTGTACATCGGCTGGCCATCGCAACTAATTTTATAGGCCACACACGCATTCACTTCGCCACTACGATTCTGAGTGGAAGTCGAATGCGTGGGCGCATCCCACAGATGGGATGATCAACGCCCCAAGACTATAGACTTTATCCCCTAGACATCCCTTTGTCTTTCAAATGGTGACATAAGTCATGAAAAAGAAGAAGTTGCTCTCCCCTTCTAATGTTCGACCTGATCGTTTATGTTTAGTAGTCCCTTTCAACTCAGAGTGTTCTAATCCTCTGTTCTTCCGGATTTAGCGAGTCATTAGATAGTATAGGGCTCATTGTGTCTAGGTGTGTTGTTGTGTTTGCGGATGAAGCAGGAATGTCCTGTTGAGGTTTGTACGCATCTTATGGTTAGTACAAATGTATGAAATTCAAAAGGAATACCAAAACACTCAATTCCCGCAGCTTCTGGTACTCCCTTCGCGTTTATCATGCTCGTCGTTCTTGCTCCCCAATTCATCCTAAGTCAACCAGAAAAGAGAGCCTTTCTCCCTTCCAGGTATGCAGCGCAAGTGTGAGCACCGAGAGCAGTGACAATGGAAAAGATGCGACAGTACAGGTGCTTCCCTCCGAATTACTCCCACCTCCAAGAAGTACCCAACCTTTCGGGTCTGTCTTCTTCTGAACTTTGCTACTTTACTATTTGTCTATCCCACCACGGCTTCTTCTTCTTTTTTCACTACCATTCTATTCGCACTCACTCACTCAGGAATACAGAGGCCGTGCTGCGTCGCAGTCCTCTTCACTGTCTTTAGAGTCTATTTCGACTTCAACCTCAGTTTGTTAACTGTACTTCTTCACAAATCACCTAATTCGTGTAACTTCTCGGGTTCTGTTTTTTCTTCACGCTGTATCAGGACGTTTTACTCATAAATTGTGTACATAATGAAATTATTATATGATCATCCATACAACTCCTGTGATAACAACAATCAATTTCAATTATTCACAAATGTTTACATTTAATATAATAAATCTGTACACCATGTCCTTTACACATGTAAAAGCGTAAAGCGACTAGCTAAGAAACAGTTAGTTGCCCGAAAAAAACCCGTATGTGGGACAAACTAAACAATACCTCAAAAGCCAGATCGAGTCTGCTCAAAGGGCACCGTTACTTCCTGGGTGATAGGCAGTGACGAGACATGATGAACTAGGGAACCCTTCAAGATGCGCGGGTCAGCTACGAAGAGCCTCAGCTGAGCGGTCGTCCGATTCCGGCACCAACTCGTTTTTGATCATTTGATCATCGTTCACATAGATAACATCCTGAACAGAAGAAAATAAATCTTTCTAGGGATTTTGCTGTGCTATCGTAAAAACAGCGATCATCCTTCAGTATACTCTTCTAGGCAGATGATGAGATGTTTGACGGGAACCGATTTCACGGACGCACCATGAAATTTATAAAAGATCCAGAAATTCAATTCCAATTCATAGTAGTCGCCAATACATCCAAATTTAAAGACTACTGGAATGATAATCGTCAAAATCTCAGTCCAAGAAACCTCCTAATCAGAAAAAAAAGGACCTGCAGAAAAGGACCTGGAGAGAGGGATGCAAAAAACAGTCGGTACGCAATTATAAGGTTGAGTATCTCTACTTTATACTCAATCCTGTAATTGGCTACAGACTAAAGAGAGCTTCCACTTCATTTCCAGTTTCTTCAACACAAATTCAATGGCGGAACTATGAACTCCAAGTGTGTTCACCATTCGTTCGACGACTGGGATGATCCCCTTTCTCACTACGCGCCATAGCTCGCTTAAGTCGCCCAAATGAAGCACGTATACCAGAAAATCGCTTTTCTCTCTATTTCTCTTTTCCCTGAATAGAACGACTGCACCGTTGTAGATCTTTCTGACATGCAGATTTAAATTTTTCAATTATGTCGAAACAAGTTCACTATACTTGAATCTACTAGCTGCTCGTACAGCTCAGTGGTATGCGCAGTCAACCTCATCCCAGAAAAATGTCACTGTCACAATCCATCACATCTCGTTCCCTTCGGAAATCGGCAGGATAGTACTGTTCCTCAATCTAATCGTAGGTTAGATTCTCCATTCAATATTCAGATTGATCAGAAACAAGGTGACTCAATCCCGAGCTCCTTGAGCGCCTTCCTGTCATAACGGTATCCCAATAAGACCAAGAGATTTTTCAACATCCATCTACCATACTGCTCGACTGACAAGAGGCATAGTAACTGCATCCATTCGTATAAGGGTTTTCCTTTAGCCCTCCACAATTTAGTTTGACTGGTATTTATGTTAAGTATACTTCCAGCCACCAATCCAGTCACAAGCAAAAAAGAAAGGGAAGTGGAACATGAAGCAATAACCCAGCCATGAGCAATTCCCACGGGGTTATTGGCATCCAAAGCTTATCACACTAGTGTGTTTATGTCAGTGTACAAAAGCACCCGAGCGAAACGATGTCTATAGCTTTTAGCTTGATCTTGCCCCGTAGCTCGAATTCAATACCTTTGCTCAACTTGATTAGAAAAAATCGTGGATAACTCTGAGACTCTCAGAGCGGATTAATAGCCTTCGCCGCGAAGAGGGAGAGAAAATTCTGCTGATTGCCTTTTTCGTTTATTCATTTCTAAGGTTAACTCAAAGTCTCTAAAAAGGTGCCTACAGAAAGGATCTGACTCTGAGTATCGAAACGAGCAGAGTTCCAAAAGGGAGCGAGCTTACTTGCAGTCGTCACGAATTTTGATTTCCTCGTAGATATTCGAAATTCCAGCAATGAATGCCCCGCGCAACGAAGGCGTCACTATCCTTTCAGTTTTCTCTTCGCCCATCTTCACTCAGTTGGCGAATGAGTTATGATGGGCCGAAGAGACAACCTCCGATATCACCCTCCTCTACTCATACGCAGCTCATTCAAAAGCAGATTAACCCATTGCGTACCGCGTGCTGCACATGCTGCAGAACGCCCCTTTGCCTCTGCGCGCCGCAATTTCGTCCAAAATCACTCTAAAGTTTGAATAAAGATTGAACAGCCCATACTTTGCGGTTCGCTCTAACAAGCGCTCTATGTGGCTGCGTGCTGTACGCCACTTCGCCACTTCGATCATGAAGAAAACGCCGGGCACATGCAGCAGCTAGCGCAAGAACACTACGCAGTGGGTTAAGTAAGATCGACTTGCGCTTCTCAATGCGAAAATATCAATTAGGGAAGGTCATGAGGAACACCAGTGGTAAAGAAAAAGCGCTTATTAAACATCTTGTTGTATTCTAGAAGCGCACATCCTATTTAAATGAAGGCAAACGTAGTGCGGAATCTTTTGAAAAAGAAAAAGCTTGGAACACAAAGGGTTCAGTTGTGATGCTAAAAAGTTGAACGAGGAATCAACGCAATGGAGGAGATGCGTGACCTCCTGAGACTGATTGAAGAGTAACAACAACCCGTCGCGTCAGAAAAAGAGCGGTGCCCCATTTCCCTTTCAAGTTCCCCGAAAAGGGAACTTGGAAGAGAAATGGGGTCCACTCCCCTTTTCCTCAATATTTCCGGTCGGTTTGATAGGATTCGATGTGTTCTATGTCATACCTGATTATTGACTGACTGTTTACAACTATGTATAGCGAAGTTAAGGTTTGAAGAAGGCATTGAGTGCCGAAAGCTAACCTATAAAGTGGAATGTCAAGAGCTTCGAGAATACACACGAAAGACGATAAGAATCTTTCCTTAACCCATTGACGACCACGTGACTCGCTGGCGGGCCACGGTAAGGTTTACACTATTTATTGGACCTCTTTTAATTTTTGGCGCTTTCAAGCATGAGTTAGGCTCATAGCCTTCTGGAGAACCTTGAGACGTTGTGGTCCATGAATCACTTACTTCCAACTAAAGTTATGAGAGAAAACAAAAGTTTATGTAAGGAAAGTATCAAGAGGAGCAAAACCGAGCGTAATCAGTTGGTCATTCACACATACTGCGTGTAATAGCTAGGGAATCCGGCTCCCTTTCGCACTTTCGATCCAATTTGAAATTATTCTTGTAGAGGGATGCTTGCCGAAAACACTTTGAAGTAAGGGACTTACAAAGTTTGTCACAACAATGCTAACTAACAGCGTCTAACCCATCGGTCAAAGATTCGAGGAGAAAATTTACTCCTCGTGTCTAGACAAAGTTCTATGATGTTTCGATGGATTTTAACCCCACAAGCTACGAAGGTTCAGAGATGAGTTGAGCAGTTTCCTATTTCCTGTAAAGTCTAATAAAGTAACAGTGGATGTCGTTTCACGCGCAAATTTTTTGAGATATAGTTTCATTAAAATGTTACAGAGGAAGTGCTAAGTCATCCCTAACGTAGCACGTACGTTTTGTGGATGGATTATCACTTCTGCTGTGACATTTTAGTAGAATTACAATTCAAAGAATGGGTGCGCGAGGAATTAGTTTGCTACTGGGACCGTGTGGCCCGCCGGCGGGCCACAGCAACAGCTCGCAAAAAGCGCGGTCGGTCCCACACGCCAGACATGCTTAGAACGCGCGGTCACTAGTGGGTTAAAACGAGAAGATAGGATGAAGCGGGTATCCTAGCAATATCATAGTGATGGCATACCTATCGAAATCATAATCTTGGAAATTCCAGTCTACCTTTCTTTTCAGATGGTTATTAAATTTTCTAGGCTCTTTACAACGAGATTTGAAAAGGTTAAAACATTAGTAGTGGGCCTCCCTTCTATAATCGCTGCGAGTGATATAGAGGCGGTCCGGGGCAGCCGAGCTAGCTAACTCCGCGTTAGAGAGGTTGGCAAATATCAGCAAGCCAATCAAGCGAAAACCCTCTCGCCAAACGGCATTTGGGTATTGAAAACGAGTATTTTGTCAAAAAATCATCACTAAATTGCACAAACCATGTCGACGAGGCTATCACCATACTGTAGTCGTAATTGTTGATATTGTTCCGCGGTTATTTCAACGAATTCTCCTTCATTCTGAAAAGTTGAACTTTGCTTTCGAGTTCAATCGGTCATGACAGAATGTGAAAGATTTTCGAAACGCAGCCCGTAGCAGATTTGACAGGAATATGGGTAAGGACCGGCTGATTGCTAGGGCGCTTGTCTATAACTGTCGAGCGCCGTGGTTAAAACCGACATCAAATATCACTCAAGCTAGGAATCTCTTTTGAAATCGGAGAATACAGCTGAACGACAATGTAGTACAAACTGCGCACCTCGTTATGCTCGTCGACGAGGACCTCTTCCAAAAGATTAGACGATGACAGTCTCTGATCGGAATGCATTTGCAGTTGCTGATGTCCGTTATTGAGCTCCTGAATAATTCCATGAAAAGCCTTCGGAATTAATAAGATTAATGTTCAGAAATATTCAAGTATCAAAGCGAACCTCATTAACCACTTCCCCATTTAGGTGCTCATTATTGTCGATTACGACATAGAAATCCTTGCCATCCCCCATAATCTCTCCAGGGACGACAACCTGACAAAGTAAGACCAGTCGAAACCTCCGTGCTTTATTTAACGTCTTTTGCAAACCTGCATAATATCTTCCGATGTCGACTCCATTTGATTCAAATAAATAGAGTTGCTATCAGCATTATCTATACTGACCTCGGTACCTGGATCGACGTTGTTGTCTGCAATAAAAGTTAGGCTGATTAATTAAGCAAAAGGGGAGTTCAGTACATACATAGATATAAAAATAATGGATCACCACGGTACTATTCACAAAGAATCACTTGAAAATTTATGCTTAGAAAAAAGAAGGAACCTGGTGACCCATCTGAGTGGGAAGTTGTTTGGCAAGCCTGGTATTCATCTATAGGATTAACGTCGACAAGTTTATCAAGGTGACTGTTCATTCGATGTGACAGGAACTCTCGCCTGAATGGAAACGCTTTTCAACTCACACCTGCCACAAAGCCCTCTTCGGGTCATGGCATTAGAAATTAGCCAGAGAGAAAAAGTCTGAAGAATAAATTTTTAGCGCTGATGAATCCCACTTCTCTGGGCAGATATAGAAGTCACCGCTTCTTTTTTCAACGGGCGAGTCTAGACAAAGACTTCGAGATAAAAAGTTTGATCGACCCATGCGGTGATCAACCGAGAGTTTAATCCCGGATAGTGCGTGTATTGGTGCGCCACTCGGCAGTACACCACCAGCGCCTATCGAATGACCTCACCTTGTAGAATATTGGATTTCGCAACATATCCAGGTTATTCGCTCACAGTCGACATCTATGCGATAATTGCACGAACCAGGTGTTTCAATCTGTGAAATGAACTACTTTGAAAGGAACCAAACAGAGCTTAATATTCACTTCGAAAGCATTAAACAACTCCAACGTCTGTGTCTTAAAATAGGGTGACCCATAATTGCCCAAGGACAACTTTCCACATTTTAATTTTCAATAGCGTTGAAGCAATTTCGCATGATTTCCTAAATTCGGGACTGTGCGAGTGCCACGGGAGAAATGGTTTTTGTCAAGCCAAAGTCAACACCATCCCCTGGATGATACCTTGGAAAACCAGCTGCTTTTCTGGTGCCAAGCACATTATGGCAAGAAGATTTGCGTCCATTCACAAAACGAAGGCAATCCAGGACTGATGTTCCGAAAATTGGATAAATGAGAAGTCACTACTTTTGTAATGTGGTCAATTCCTTCCCAGAGGGTCTACAGTTGAGGCCATCCAGAGCAAAAATGGACAAAAAAATGTGGTTGGCAGTTCAGTACTAAGTTGACCAGCTATATTCCAAATTTTATATTATTTCGGCTATTCAAGACAGTTAAAAACAAATCAGAACAAAATCGAAAAAATGATTCGTAACCATTCATGGGTAAGTATGGCATACAGTGTTTACTAGTTTCGATACCTCACAAGAGAAGACGTTTTTTGAGTGAACTCTCAGCATATGTCGAACAAGAAGGGACGGGCGGACAAGACGGAGGCCGCATTGCTCGCATGTAGTTCTGTAAATAAACAACGGAACTACCACGTGCGAAAGGCAATACACTGCGTTTCATAAATATCATAAACCATTATTTAAACAACCATAAATATCTTATTTCAAGAAAAAAGACAAAATGGACCATGATCCATTCCTAACCCACTTAACAATAATAGAGCAATCTCAAACGCTTCTGAAAAGCTTAGAAAATCCAAAAAACCAAATCACTGGACGAGATGTGAAGAAAAGATACTATCTCATAACAAAGGCGTTCTCACGTCAACCGGTAAACCATCGAATTTTGTAAAAAAAGTGGTTTGGAATAGTATCTTCAGGTGCCTTTTCTGCAGATGATCAGAATATGGTTATAAATACGCATACCCACTTCCCCCTACCCTACTGATCGTTTTTGATCCAGATTGAAGTTCAACAAAGAAATCGGAATCTGCACGTATAGTATATTACCACAAAATAAAACAAGAAAACCTACCTAATGAGCCCAACTAACCTGAATACTAAATCGTTATTGCATGAACTGGAAGGACCGTGCCTATCCTCTATTTCAGTACGATTCGGATGTGATCCAAGAGCTATTAAACCACGACCAAGATAATGCCGTTTCCTCAGTATCTTAAAATACCGGTGAAAGTGGTTCCCGAGCGTGGTCGTTGAAATTTGTCAAAATCAAAACGCGCTTCGTATAGGATACTACACTGACAACGTGTCAAAGGATCCTAGAGTGAAAAGCTCACCCGCTCTCTGTCCGACTTGACAGTAAACGGAGGCATAGCATGTACATCAGCTTTATGCATATTCAGCTCCGTCATTGTGTACGCTACATGGCCACACCACTTGCAGACGTATCTGCAGTTATTAAAATTCGTAAGCAACAACCAAGGATGGAAAGGGAAGTTCAAGGCTATATTTCTTCTAATTTGTTCCACTAGACGACAACAGGATAAAGTGGGAAGCATCACATTTTTCGCGATAGCTACGAGCAGAGAACCGGTCCAACACTTGACATTTCCGGATAATCTAACGGTCAAAAAGAAGTGCTCAAAGGAGTAATATTTCGGATGGTTCTCTTGATGGTATTTCTATTTTTCTTTGCCATACCAACTTCACATTCAAATTCCATTTCGCACATCCTATCAGTGGCCCAGCACGAAGTTGAGTAGCACTAGACACGGAATCTGTTTGTATGCATCTTTTGCCTTCAGTTAATCTTGTACTACTGGGGATTTTGTACCTTTTTTAATGACGAATTAGAAACCGAACAAATTTTCCCAAAATAAAACAAGACAACGCACTTCCTTCTCCTTGTATGCATTTGATCGTTATGCATGAGGAGGCTGTTTTCGTCTCCGAATACCATATTGCAGTCGCGGCACATCAATCGCCCTACTTCCTTAAATAAACCATTAACTTTTAATTTCAAGAAATATGAAAGAATATATCATGATAGAACTAATTATCTCAGGGTAACTTAAGAACAAGAGCAAACAAAAGTTTGAAAAATGTAAAAATTAAATTACTTCAGGCCCGTAACGTGCTAGAAGTTTCAGTTTGAGATCATCATTTCTCTTGTGTGCACGCAAATGGTTTTCCATCGCAGAAGGACTGTCAGCATCGATTATCATCCCACAAAGACTACACGACTTGAAGTGTTGTTCTTTTACTGCTTCCGTGGCGTCGACATTCCCATCTGCATCGACAGAGACACCTTCTGGTGAATCCGTGCTCACTTAAAAAACACAAGTATTTTGACTTGTACGGCACAATGGCAGCACAGAACAAAGAAGATGTTGAATTTCTAAGAGCTGGTGCATCGGAAGTATAGCCGTTATCATATGAATAAGCTTAACATAGGTATGCGAGAAATGGCGGAAATTTAGGGTCGTGGCTGCGCTTGCAGGATAGTAATGAATAACATAACCAGATCGAGCGACAATCTCTTCCTTACCCTATTGTTCCTTGTGATCATCAAGATTTTTTCCGCTGTCAGGGATAAAAGAGTAAGACCGCCTATGACCACGATTTCTCACTACACCCGTTGACATAATTATCCCTAAGATTTCATTCCCATATGAAAAAAGATAAAACTGTACTTCATTAAGTTAGAAATTTTCCACCCTCTCCCTCCATCCTCCCCCCCCCCCCCCCTCAACGAGCTCTACATGAGCACTGATCAGGGTCGAACCGAACCACAACCTTACCGTTGCTACACCATATGTGCCGGAAGTTTGGGAATCCGAAGATAAACCTTTTGGCGAAATCACACATTGGAGGAGGAAAGACCACACTCACTAGATAAATGTCCTAACGTTCCATTCGCCACTTGTTCGATGGCTTGACGAGCGATGTTCTCTTGCCTTAAGCGTGTTGAATACATACGGTCTCTTCGCCTTGCTAGTTCCTCTTCGCGTCTTCGCCATTCCGCACTGATCGTCTCAATGTGTTCGAGGATCTTAATGAAGAAACGAAGTTATAAGGTAGTATTCAGAAAGGCAAAGCAGAACGAATATGCGTCAGCGTCATCCAACGCGATATGGAAGGCTAGTGGACCCGATGAATTTAACGATAAACGCAGGCCCAAGAAATCCAGATCCCGAGCTCAGCCAGTGAACGAGGACCAGGAATTCGCCGCTTAGGCCAAAGAATTAAGGAATATAAGGGGGAGGGGGTAATGCGATTAGGCGATGACCGTTGGACTAAAGCGGTCGGGGACTGATTGGGAAGTCAATGAATACCAGGCCTGCACCCAAGGCGATCTCAGACTTTTTTTTGCGAAAGCTCTAAATGAAAGAAAGCTATGCCACGTGTTCCTCGAATGAGGGCGAAGCACTGACTATTCTGGCTTGCCACAGGAACGAAAGGAACACTACTATCATCCGCTCGAGAAAACAGTTAACAACGTAACAACAGGTGATAACGGTGATATTCTGCCTGCAAGTCTGCTTGTCACGAACTTCGATATCAACTGGAGAAGCAATTAGATAGGTGGGGCCACGTTTGGTGTGTATAGGGCACAGGGCAAGATCAGCAAAGCTTAAGGGAGTTATGAGCTCCGCCCACGGGCGGCGGGACATGTACCGGAGTGAGCAATGGACAAAACTTCTTTATTTGGTTTCATAACAGCCAACACGTCAGGAAAAAGTAGCAAGTGGTAGGAATGGATCAACAAATGAAGTAAAATCTATCCGCAGTAAGTGAAGCGTTCTCAACAAGACTATGAGTTTATTACTCTGTTCGAAAAGGACCCACGATAAGGAGAAGATCGCGTAGAGTATACCAAAAGAAAACTGGACAAGCCTTTACAGTGGGAGGAGCGTTACTGAGAAGGACGAAGACGAAATCAGAAATTAATAGCTGCATTGGAAAATGATTCGGAATCTAGAAAAAAGTGGTCAGAGGTATTGTGGGGTGGGTTGTAGCATTTCAATGGTGGAATGTGCACTAAGGTGGGCGGGCTTAGATCTAGAATTCATGACTCTTATAGAAAGTCTTGAACCACCACCGTTATTCACTAATTTAAAAGTCTGTTCAAAGCGTTGTTTGTAGTGGTGCAGATTCAGTGTGCGTAACCGAACCGGTTACGGAAAAGAGGTTTATAGCAAGATGCGACATGACAAGAGGTGATGTGAAGAAAAGTAATAAATAAGAAAAAGATATGAAAAAAACGGAACCAAACAAACCTCTTGTAAATGGTCCTGATGTTTTTCCGACGCATGACGTTCCAATCCAAAAGATGTCAAAAACACTCTCTCTGGGCAAAGGGGGCAAGGATACGACTCAACTTCATCAGCCACACCTACAAAACGTTAACGTAAAACAACTACCAGACATTCACTGATTGAAAAATTGTGGACAATCAATGATAGGCAAGCCACTCATTGTTTTAAATGTGGAATTGCGAGATCAACTCCAATAATTTCCTGAGCCGAATGATATCACGACACATCACAAACGAAGTCAAGCGTTTTCTGCTACGAATGGCGAAAACTCTTGCTCTATAGGGCATTGTTAGATTCGAGTCTTCTTTATACAAACCTTAACTGGCAAAAATCCGCAAGATGGGCCTGTTCCACAACACCATAAACACACCACAAGTATCGAAGAAACAAAAGTGCACACCTGGTAACGTTGTAGGTACGTAGGGTTCGTAGTCCTCGGTATTTTCAGTAGCGCTTTCAATTACAATCCGTTTAGCACGTGGATATGAAAGCACTACAGAGCTTGGAACCTTAATAACCATGAATAAGCTTATCAAGGAAATCGAAAAATCGGTATTCTCTGAATGGAAAGGCTAAAGCCTTAAATGTCGCCTTTCTTAGAATGAATGATGTCTCTGAATTTCACTCAAAACCACAGAAACAGAAACCCTGAAGAGCAAGCTGAAGTTGATAATATTCCTTATTGTCTGAGGGGCCACGCATCACCCAAAAATATTTGAGCGCTCATTAACACAGCTGGAAGTACTTTCGTATCATATGATGGAACACAGCTAACCATTGGCCTCTTCCTTCTCACTAATCGTTCGGTATCTTCCATCCCGCTACCACAAGAACGGGTCAGCAGAACTTTTCAATGGGTTTCGAAAGTTGAGTTAATGGTGAAACTGCTGAGCAAAAGAGTGGCAAAAGCAATTGTCTAATATCCAACACATTTAAATAAGTATTACGAAGTGAAGCATAGCATCTATTTTACGCTGCCTTTGCTAAGTTCAAAGAAGAACAACCAATGAACAGCTCACCCACCTGAACTCCAGTTTCATCGACAAAGCGGCCGTTTGATTGCTGCAGACCTACGACGATACCGTCCCTAACTAAAAGTTGTTCATGATCATCGTCCAGCTCACCTGTCCTCACCGAAACGTCTTCAATAGCGTCAACCTTTTCCTTATCTGGAAAATCACCGAGTACCCAAACTAAGGAGAACAAAGCAGCATTACTTCAGTGTATGTGCGGAGCAAACAGCGAAACACAGACCGGATGTAGGCACTGCCAGCTTAGACGATCTCACAGACTTGGCCATGATCCTTGGAACTTTCCGCGATGGTCCGGACATCTTATGCAAAGAAATATTAAAAACATAACAAAAATGAAAGTTTGTAACAGAAATGGTCTGGGGAAATATCCCATGGACAGTGAGAAATGCGAAAAGTAAAAGACTGGAAAACGCTTTAAACATTCTGTGAAGCCATAAAAAGAACAGCAGTCTATTCAGATCAATAATTTGAGGTGAATGAAGGACAACCTGAGATATTTGAGAAAAAACACAATGTAAACCAATTTATTGACAATGAAACTGGAACTTGACCAAAAATTTGAAAAATGAACAACAAACTAAAACTTTGACCATATGAATAAAGACTGTGAATGTACCATGCTGAACTGTTGTACACACCGAATTGAAAAACCTCAGTCACGGGGCGTAAGGAGAGCGAATTCCACTCACGGAAGGAACACATACGGCAAGATCATCAAATATGTATTTAGAACGATAACAAACTAAACACGGGTCATTTCAAAACCCATGACAATTCACCTGATTCACGGAGCACAACAATATCTCTCCATACTAAACAGCTGAGATGCCAAAAACACAAATCTCAAGTTGCAAACAACAACAACTTTGAATTGCTTTCCTCAATCCTTACTGTTGGTAGCACGCTCCAGGAAACGGGGTGGCTTTTTCAAATACACATCAATTGGACGCTCAAACCCTAAAATGCAGTTAAAAGTAATACGATACGGCGAATATGAATACGATACTATCCAGAACATGAATACGATACTATTCAGAACTGAAAACCATCGCTACCTTTTGTCTTTGCGCAGGGAACACCGAGGTGTTCGACGCTTTCAAAACCTATTTCTTCAATGAGATACATCTCAAAGTCTTCCGGTTTGAATTCTATTGCAGCATAGTTCGCTTTCAGCTTTTCCTAAAAAAGCATTACTTTATAGAAGATAGGTTCAATGATGGAATTGCATTATTACATAACAAACCGTCATCTTCGCTCTCTTCCTGTAGCTGGCGAACGGTTGAGGCTCCAGAATAAACCTACCACCTGGGAGTAGTTGGTTAAATGCGCGACGGAAAAACCGACGCAAACCATCGTCACCGAAATTCAAGTGTATCCATTTCGTAATACTTAGCGCCAGAATAACATCAAACTCTTCTTCAACCTAAATAGACAACTCCAGCTGTATCCTTCCATAACAACAGAGTAGCAATAAGCCTTTCAAGACTTACTGTTTCCAAGAGCTCATCACTTTCTAGAACATAATTTTCCCGCCGGAACCAGACATTGTCCGGAAATTTGGTGGAGAAAGACAAAGTGTGATTGGAGATAGGACCGAAAGTGGTGCAGAACGATGCAGGAAACTTGCCGACAAACTAAAAATTGAGGCACTTGTTAATTCGCATCTGCTATCCGTGTAAAAGACAGAAACTCAGTAGCACCTCTGTGTTCTGATCGCAATAATGACGTATGTTTTTACGGGCCACGCCAACAAGGTGATCGTCAATGTCAATGCCAAGAATTCGACGAGGTCCAAAGTCACGTGCGATTGACAAAGTTAGGAATCCCACGTTACAGCCTTGAAGAAATTATTCAGATATGAACTTCAGATAGTGAAAGGACACACCCATAAATGTTACCTATATCCAAAACGCTCTTCTTTTCGAACCACTCTTTTTTCAGTATGGACAAGCGGCTGTCTTTTTGGCCAGGTTCTAATCGTGCACCATAGTAGCGGTCAAAATTTCCGTAGCAATATCTGAATAAACGTTTTTTTTTTCATACCTAACATCACAATACTAACCAGGCAAACATTTTCGTTTTCAAGGAAAGACCACTCAAGGATGAAAAGGATAAAAGATCACCTATTATTGAAATGCTCTTGCTTAGCCTTCTTCAATTCGGTCTGTGAGAGCTTATTCTCACCGCTAGGTCCCTCTGCATTGTTAGGGGCACCTGATTCTAGACTAGTCGTTGACGACGATTCCTTTCCATCTTTTTTAGGGCTTGAGTGTTGCCGCTGCCGTTTCTGAGAGTAGGACCAATTACACAATTGTTTTCACAAACGTAGCGTACGACTAACTTCAGAAAAGCGGTGATTAACCAGATCATCTGTGGAATCCCTTCTTCCACAAGTAGCAAATCATTTTTGATTTGAAGTGATCGTAACGAGTTTTAGTGAACAATGTAAGGAGAATAGCACGAAGTGATGGATGCCGCTACAAAAGTACGTTATTCATTGGAAGCCCACCTGGCGCTTGAACTTATACTCCAGGTAAATTTTCCACATTCCTCTCTTCGCGGTACCCTACGCGAGCAATTAAAACGTGAAATAGTGTTTGCTTGGGGTTCTCCACTGCTTCGCGCCTATCTTGGAAGCGCTTGCTCCTGAGTTGCAGGGCCACAACCCAACAGCAGAACAAGAAGAACTGAAGCCCATCGTTATCGGCCTGCAGTGACGTTGGTGCTTTGCTCAAAAGTATCAAAAAGATCGTGTCGCATGCTGCTGTGGAATTTGAATGAAGAATGATATGAGCGAATTCCATACGTTAAATGTCGATTGGAATATTGATATAGTGCAGTATTATACTAATCACACATAATACTCATACTGTTTATGTGATGAATTAAAGTAAAGGAATATTACCTGTTTACGCTGCACAGGAGATACGATTTGATCCTCACTCAAAGAGCACTCCTCCTGTTGTTTCCTCCTATGAAATTAAAGGATCACTACAATCGGCAAAAAAGGGGAATAGTATAAAAAATTATCATCAAAATAACCCACTTCCTCCGCTGTCTCTCTATGCCATTTAGATTGAGAGGATCTTTCATATTTTTTGGAATGACAACCTAAATCACTAAAAAGGATGAATAACTTCAAATACAAAAGGATAAGTGTGAAAGATAATTCAACAAAAAACTTCGAACGACAGAAGTATTTCAACAACGTCAATGACAATGCCGAGGCTAAAACAAGAGAGAAGTTGGAAAGTATAAAGCAAAAAAACCCTCTTACGAGGGATTTGTAAAGTCTCCTGCAACGTCGAGAACTTTCCTAAAGAATTTTGAAGTTATTCGTTAAGCAAAAAAGTCCTGGCCCTATTCGACACTATGTCATACTCAAATTCCTCATGCCCGCACTAACATTCACCAGCGTACTGCCCTACTGCGCTTGAACAAGATATTCTTAACTCCCACTATTGTCATTTGAACAAATTCGATAAACTAGCAGTCACTACATGGAGAGAAAGGAGCGTGAGTTTAGTTTTGCACGATACTTCGAAAACTGTGAATACATTTTGTCTGAACCAAGATATAGTGAAACCCTTTTATAGAACCTGTTTTTGTTGAAATAGACAACGCTAACCTCGATGGGCTTCGATTCGTCAACTTTCGAAGCTCTAGTGGAGATTGATTCATCGCCCGATATTACGGCGTTGAGATTCAGGGGATCTTCTTTGGTCCCACCACTAGGGTACATGAATTCACCACCGAAGCGCCGCCGTCCACCGCGAAACGCTTCTAAAAACAAAGATCTGAGAGCTGTTGAACACTTCGCGAAAATTTTGTGGACCAAGCCAACTGCGGATACGGTTGGTTCACGCATGAACTTTTAACCAGTAGAGTAGAGACTACATAGATATGTTCCAGTAAATGGAACATGCTTCAACTTTGCCGACCCCTTTTCTTTTCTCACAACAAATACGTGATGAAATGGGGTCTTACAATGAGGAATTGGAGCAGGCATTGTTAGGAGCTGGGGGATCGCAAAATTCTTCCTTGGAATGCTGATCTCATTAAAAGTGGCAGCCTTCAGTGGAATGTGGGCAAAACCAAAAATTTTACAATCGATTTTAGAGGTAGTCCTACTAAAATTTAAAAATAGCAAGTTCCATGCTCAAACAAAGAATAAACATTGAAAACTGCTTTTCGAAGCATAAGGATGAAGACGTCTTTTCGCCTCAACTCCAAAACAGATAGACAAAATGGTAGTGATAGGCCTCTTCAACATTAAATATCTACATCTTCATATATAAAACGCTTAAACTAACATTGCGCATTTGAGACAACCATTTAACCTCGATCTACTTTCGCCTGACTAATTTCGCAAGCACCTTATTAATATAGCGACTCTATTCATAGGTTTGAGTGAGAAAAGGCAGGTTTGAATTAGAATACTTGGTGCATGATTAACGAGACGATCCCCATCAATCCGAGTTTGGGAGAAGTTAATGCAGCCAGTGATGGGGAAAAATCAGTTAAATATCTGTGGGAGTGATCGCTGGTACAGCAATATCAAACAGAAACCCTGATCGATGAGTAAACTCCTAACTTATACCGCTTATACTGTAATAAGAAGTAGGAGCCGTGCGCAGAAAATTCCACAATGTGTGGAAGTGCGATGACCATTTCCGTTTACCTCCAACAAACAAAAAATGCTCCCCGTGTGTGAAAATGTTCATTCAAAAACAATACACTGCTGATATCCAACTTGATGAAGCAATACGACGGTTTAATCCTAACTAGCCTTAATTGTCCCACTTTTTTTTGTAAGAATTTAGTGAGATCCTCATCAGCTGATGCAGCGACGTGAAAAAAACCTCTGGAGGATGAAAGATGAAAACGGGTAAATATAAACCAACGCTTGTTCGAACGAGAAGAAAAACTGCGCCGTCCATGTCGACTTCCTGCTTTGACTGGCTTGCCTTCTTCGTCAGTCATATCTTAAATGTTTTCATTTCATTTATAATACCTAGCAACTGGAAAATCAGTTGACGCAGTAACAAGAACCCACAGAAAACCAATGGTAAAAAAATCTGTGTGCAAATCAAAAGAACCCATTTGTAACACAATCATTCTATCTCATTCCGAAAAAAAAATTTAGAAAGGTAATGCGGTTGTACGAAAAAAGTACCACGTGAATCAACATCGGCGACGAGAAGAATCAATTTAGAGGAGGAAATATTGAGTAAACCTAATTCAGGAAATTACTGGAATGAAAGAGAACAAACTGCTGAGATGATCCAAAATAAGTTCCTGAGAAGATGTTTCACTAAAGTTAATGCTTGGTGACCACAGCTTTATATCCTACAATTTTCGAAATTTCTTGTCGTGCACGGGTTGCACACCATCGCTAATCGACAGTACTTGCGATTGTCGCGCAACTTCATGCTTAGTACAACTGCGCAACACATCGCTCTAAAGTTCTTCCATGGAAACGCAGAAGAGCAATCATCTTTATTACTGCAGCATATTGCTGCAGCAGAATAGGGGTATGGGTACTTACGTGCGTCCGAGGAAGCGCGCGGCAAATTGCGCGGCGAAGTTCATACCTATTCTGACGACTTTAGCGCCTATTATTTGGGCCCAGTTTTGAAGTACAGTAGAATAGTAGTATCAGCTGACCTTACCAATCGATCCTACTTCAGATTTGGGCCCCAATGATAAACGCCGCAGCCGTCCAAATTCGCCACGAACTTCGCCGCACAATTTGCCGCGCGCGCGCACTCGGACGTACGACTTGACACACACCCTTCCGCACAATTGAGAATACGTCCGCAATTTCACCCAGAACTGGATGAACGCGGCAAGTCGCGCGGCGAAATTCGCAGCGATTTAAACGACTTTAGCGCTTATCTTTGGAGCTCATATTTGAAATAAAGACCATTATTACGATCATCCAACCATACTAATGTAATCTAATTCAAGTTTGCGCCCCAATAGTAGGTGCCAAAGTCGTCCTGAACGCCACGAATCTCGCCGCGCCATTTGCCGCGTCCATCCAGTTCTGGGTGAATGTTCCGTCCCCCCTTTTCGCAACGACGTGCGTTGCCAGACGAACGTTTGTAGCGGTGAACATCGTAGATTGACGAAGCTAAACGTTTGGCGGAAGACTGTTGACAACGCTGGACGCTTAACTGACGCCTGATGAGGCTGCTTTCAGACTTCAACGATTTAACGGACGTCCGTCGATCCGTCGCGTGCGGGCGGGAGATGGCGGTGCTCGACAGGTGTCGAGGTGTCGACAACATTGGACGCCGATGGATCACGTGTCATCAAGTGGGTAGAGCCGCCGTCGCTCGCACGCACGCGACGAACGGACGAGCGGAGTTGAACCGTTGAGGTCTGAAAGCTGCCTGACTATGTCCGCGCCGCCGCAGATGGTTCTGTCCTGGAGCATGTCGTTTTCCAAGAGGTGGAAAAATCCGCCAACGGAGTTGCAAACGATGTCCAACGCTTGTGAAGCGGAAGGCATCGAAGAGCGCCGCTGCCTTCGGGCGCGGTCCTGGTTCCATGCTTTCATTTCACTAGCATTGGAGCTCAGCATACTTTGCGCGTCATTTCCAAAATGCACCATGTTACGCTCGGCGGGTCCGGTATTGGCTGATTTCAGACTTCGACGTCCGTCCGTCCGGTGCGTTGCGGTCGCGTTGCGTGCNCAGTATTGTGCACAAGTGGGCTGGACCGCCGTCGCACGCGGACGCAACGGACGCAACGAACGCCGAACTCTCAAAGCAGCCTCTTCCCCTCGAACACCGCGTCGCGCTTGCCGCACCCGCCGCCTATCGCGGAAGAGCGGCGGAAGTTTTTAGCGCACAATCTGGAAGTTAGGGAGTCCTTTAATTATGTACATTCGCAGGCAACTTTCTCCAATCCCAGTGCGGTCTTGATCGTCGATAATAGAGAAAGAATCGTTCCAAACAATCAAGCCTAATAACAAAAACAAAAAAGAAACAATTAAAAGCAGTCAACGAAAAATACGGTGTCCTATTGATTGGCCGGGAGGCGCACTTAGTACGGTGGTTGCAGTTTTAACTGCGAGACGATTGGTTGCTTTCAAACTTCAACGTCTGTCCGTCCGTCGTCCGTGTGACGGCGGTTCTAGACAGACGGACTGACGGACGTTGAAATCTGAAAGCAACCATTAGAAAGGGTTTGCGGCAAATCGAAGGTGGGAATTCGGGGAGAAGTTTCACTAAGTTTCGCTAGTCCTAGCCCGAAGTCCCTTTTCAATGCGTCGTATACATGACGGGTGAAAATTTGTGCATTCAAATAAGGTTATGCCATGAAAGGAAAAGTGTCTTGTTCATAGAAATACTGCAGAATTCGGAGCAGATCATGGATGCTTCCGCTCTGTACTGTCAATAGTCCGGCAACACTGCGTTTTAACGGCGGTCGTTGAACTCTGAAAGGCACTTTGACAGTAAACTAGCTATTGGTCCTGGCTCGAACGTGATTCAGTGTTAATCCATTAGCTAGCTGTTCCTTCTCCGTATTGTTGGGATGAGTGAGAATGGGTGTATTTAAATATGGTTGAGCCGTGAAAGGAAATAAGTCGTCGAGATGGTCGCCTCGTTGCGAGAGCGACGGTCGCGCACGAAGGAATGTAGCAGAATGAAACAGAAGCACGCAGTGAGG